CAGCCCCTCAAATCACCCAGCAAGTCAACTAAGGTGAGCTTCATACCCCACCTTTTCAATATTTTAATGTTTTTGGGGGAGAGTACAAGTCAAATCTTGCCTAAATACTTGAATAATTGCATGTGTACGTATGTTTGTATCTGTGTGTGAAATATTATTAAATTAATATTTTAGTAATATCCTCATGAACGTAAGATTTCACAACTTCATAAGAAACAGAATATACTTTGTGTACAAAAGAGCCTCCCAACTATTGGATGTGTCCAACTTAAGCCCTTTATCTATGCTTTCATGTCTAGAAATAAAACTTATAAAAATGAACATTGATAAGTTGACACTATTTCTAGTGATTTTTGAAAATGGGAACTTTGTGACTATTTTGCAAACTGTAAGGGAGTATTTTATAAATATTCAATATAAAAGGTTTGCGTCAAGAAAATACACAAATAGAGCCTTTATGACAGAATTATTTGCATGTCATAAACTGCTGTCGTAAAACCTCCAACAACATAAGTAATGTTCTATATGTCATAAAGCAGAAAATGCGTGTCATAACCGGCAGTTATAAATTTATACAAATTATAACTTGACATTTTTTCTCTTGACTAAAATGACTTATTTTTCAATAAACGAAAAGGAACGAACACGAGCACCTAGTTAACGAGCACAATCAACGATATGGAACGAGAACGATATTCTTATTCAACAAGTACGAATTTCATTATTTATCTAACAAATAATGGATCTCTAACGATTGCTCAAAAGGTTGTTAATATTCTAGTCAGACAAATCTCAAAAGTACCTAAATATAAAAATATTAGTGTACGTCTAAGTCCTGTAAGGAGTTATAGCCAGAGTCTCCTGGAGGGAGAGCGGGAATTTGTGTATAGATCTATACGAGGTTGACACCCCGCACCTTCGCTGTTCGCTACAGCTAGACAGGCCAGTCTAGGGTGACAAATGTCTTTTCCAAACCGAGGGCGCCTGAGAAACACCAAAACAGGCACTCCGTCAGATTAGTATGGTTATAACGGCTCACTAGAATATGTTATATTAACTAGAAATTTATGAAAGGAAATACCTCATAAATAAATTTTGGCACGTTGTGTCGACCGTCCTATACGTGATAAGTGATGGTCCGCATTTGTTGCGTTGACTGTCCTTTTTCATAGCGAAGAACCTCCACAATTGCCATGTTGATTCTCTCTCCTAATAAGTATAGAGTCGTAATACTGCTATTTTACAAATTAAAAAGCGTAGGACTCTATGGAAAACGTTGTAAGCAATTTTGAAAATGATTAACTAATACATAGTTGGAACTAGAACTTACGAATATTTTATAGCAGAAAATATAGGATTTTCTAGAGAAAACGATTTTCTACGATATCGATAACGATAAACTAGAACGCACACTCAATTTTACTCAATAAGAGGAACAAGATTTTCAACCATATTCTCTTTTTGAAAATAATGGATTTTTCTGGAAACGGTTGACTATTACTATTCAAGAGAACTATTTTCGTACACAACTCGCTTTTACAAATCACCATACTTTTCAAAATCACTCCTTATAAGGATGAATAAAAGTAATGACATGCACACATATATCCATGATTTTCAAGGCAAGACTTCAAACGATTTCATAGAAAATATCGGATTTTCTGAAAGTATAATAAGAACGATTCTAAACAAGTGTAAACGATTTTATATAAAAATGCTTATGAACTCACCAACTTTTTAGTTGACGCTTTTCAAAACGACTTGTATTCTCAGGGATCTAGTAAGCAGGTAACAAGGGACGCGGATGCAAGATTTTTAGCTGTAGCTTGGAATTTTCTACTTATGTCTCTTTTGTGTAACTCGAAAAACAAATACAATATGTAAACAATGTAAGTTTGTTATCTCAATGTATGATGTTTGGATTGCTCTGTTTCATTTATATTCAATTGTTATGATACTGCACAAGGAAGTCATCTGCCTCCGGACGTTTCCGCCGTCTGGTCCGGGGGTGTGACAAAATTTCTCCATTTTCTAACGTTCGGAATTTTGTAACAAACGGCTATATAACCGTTTAAACATTAAAAAAAATTTACTTTTTACAATTAATTTTTTTTTTGTAACAAACACCTATAAATTATCCACTATTCTACTTACAATTTACACTTCAAAAAACACTCTCTATATTTTATTACCTTTTACAAAAAAACCTCTACATGGATTCAAATCCAAACACCCCAAACACTCCAAATGCAAATGTTAGCTACATGCAATTGTTAACCTCCCCAATCCAACAACAACCTCTATTCACCATTTCATACCCACAAAACTTATACCAACAACAACCACAACAATTCAATCAACCCCAATTCCAAGCCTTTCAACAACAACCTTCTCAACAATTTCAACAACCTTCTCAACAATTTCAACAAACTTCTTTTACACCTCAACAATTTCAACCATCTCAATCTCAACCTATAAACCTCGACAATGACGACGACGACGAACGGGTCCAAGAAACACAACAAACCAACTCGTCGAAGGCAAAAAAAAACCAAAGACCCAAGAAAAAAAAACTACCGCATAGAACGAAGACGAGGAGGAAGCTTTAGCGAAAGCTTGGATTTCCATATCCCAAGACGGGGATGTCGCCAACGCACAATCGGGTCAAAGTTTTTGGTGTCGTATTTTAGATCATTTCCACGTGTTATTAGGAAAGAAAACGGAGCGGACGTACGACTCGATCAACGCAAAATGGTGTGACTTACGAGCGGCTTGCACCAAATTCAATGGCATATTTGACAAGCTTAAAAATATGCATAGAAGTGGTAGCAACGACTTCAACATTTTAGCGACCGCGGCCTACGAATACGAAATTATCACCAACGGTAAACCGTTCGGCCACCAAAAAGCGTGGGAAGTTTGTCGTAACGGTCCAAAATGGGTTCTATATCCGGAAATGGCGCATTCGGGATCTACAACCGGTTCCAACAAAAGGGCAAGAACGTCCGAGTCGGACGTGGGTTTTGGACTCGACCTCAACGATGACTTCGACGCCACCGAGGGGGAGGGCCCACCGGACGTCCAACTTCGTCGACCACCGGGACGGGACAAAGCGAGAAAGGGAGCGTCTTCAAGCGGAAAAGCACCGGCAACTAGCGACAACGAGCTTGCGACATCCATAGATAAATGTCTAGTTTTTCTAGAAAAAAAAGTATGAATCGTCGGAGGCAACTAATCGCCAAAAAATAGCTCTTACCGATCTTCAAATCATAAACACAAAGCCCCAACCGGATCTCGACCCGGAAAATCTTGCGACCTTTCTTAAAATTCAACGACAAGTCCGGGAGAAATATGGAATTTAGGTTCTAATCTCAATGGTTTTAAGTAATTTAGGATTTTATTTATGGTTTTAAGTAATTTAGGATTTTAATTTTTTTATGTTTTTTTTAAGAGTTTAAGAATTTTAATTTGTGTTTTTTATATTAATGTAATGTGGTTTTAATTTTAATGTTTGTGTGTTTTTTATTTAAATTATGGTTTTATTTTAAATTATGGTTTGTATTTTGTTTTTTTATTTAATATAATGTTAAAAAAATAAAAAAAATAAAAAAAAAAGGAATTTGTGGAGTGGTAACCATTTCCAATGTTTAGTGGGTTGGTGGTGGGTTAGGTGTGAAGCTGACGTGGCGCACATGTGGCAGCACTTTTCCGGTGGGATGGGTGTGACCACTCCCCATAGCCTTATCAACGACAAAACCATTGGAAAACTCTCACACAGCCCCTGTTCACACCACACCACCATCCTCTCTGACCACAACAAACCATCAACCACCGATTTACTGCCAAATGCATAGCCCTCGCCACCTTAAACCATCGTACCACCTTGCCTTAGCAGGAAAGGCCATCACCACCGAACCACACAAGTACGAACATCGACCGCATACCTATTCCAGCCGTGTACAACATCACTACAATCATTGTCGACCATCTTAGCTATCATCGGATCACCTGTTTTCGAAACAGACCCACCATTTCCATCTTCCCACCACCTACCGTGAACAAAGAAGAAAAGGGGAGAATGAGGCTTTGTTGCGGCTGCAGTTAATTAACAAAAAACCAAAATGGGGCACAAGTTTAATCAAACTAATTCCATTTTGGGCTTAAGTGTTTTTTTTAACTCATTACACTAATTCCTAATGTGATAACCAAGAACGTGTATTTGTATTTAATTAAAATAATAATAAAAATATGGCAAACAATTAAGTACAAATATGAAAGGTGTCAAACAACAGCAATTTGGCATTAATTATAGTGTATACCGATTGACAAAACTAAATAAAGCATGAAAGTAAATCGGTAAAAATGTGTTTATAAAGATGAAAAGAAACAAACCAAAAATTTTGATAAACAAAATGGACAAAATATGCTAATTTTATTGAAAGGTCAAATTATATTCAATATCTATAATTCAAAAGTCATTATGTTTATGTTTATTTGTTTTTTTATTTACATTTGATGTTATAATATTTATATGTGTGTCTAACTATCTAACTGTTTGTATATGTGTGTTTACTCGACCTAAAATGGATTGATTTAAACTGAGATCTCATTGCTATTGTGGGTAACCTTCTTAAGAGAATTTGACCTTCTTATTGGTTTTATTTTGAGTTCTTATAGTTAAATGTTGGGAAAATGACTTGAGAGGGTAAGTTACTTTTTGAAATGTACACATTTAGTCCTTATTCTTTTTTTTGTAAAATAAGCCCTTATATTCGATTTTTTGTAATTGTGCAATCCTTTTGACCTGGTATACCCAGTATACCGATCATATAAGATTTTGATTTTATTTTCTTGAAATTAAATAACCAGGTGTCATCATACGTGGATATTGTTAAATTACACCACATTGAAACGACAATTAGGGCTCATTTAATAAGCCATTCCTCCATTCACTCAGCCGATAATCCCTCAAACTTCTTGATTCACAATTACCATCAACAATGGCAGAAGATGCAGATACAATCGTTGATGTACACTATCAAGGGCTGTTCACACCTACCCCATTGATGTATTTTGATGGAGTAAAAGCCTCGGTACCTTACACGGTTGTGAAGAAGATGAACTTCCATGATTTCATCCCCTTTCTTGAAAAGCTTACTAACGGAAGATGCAGAGATGTGTATTACTGTCCACATGAAGTGAGGTTGTCGGAGGGATTACATGCTATTCAGAATGACTGCGATTTTAACGAGTTTCTTGAAGATATGAATGAAAAGAAGAGATTCAATGTGTATGTGGATCATCATCATGAACCTTTGTTTGATTGGATTCAGGAGGAAGAAGCAGACCTTGAAGATGAAGATTTGGTTTCTATTGATGATATTGACTCCATTTTAGAAGATGGTCTGAAAGCTGAACATGTAGAGGACGATGAAGTTATATCTCTCAAAAGAAATTTCAATGATCCATTCCTCAACAAACTTTGTCCAATATAGAATGATGACTTGGTTGAAGAAGATCATAATGCAATACGACCTATCTTCCCAAGACATGATCATACTCAAGAATGGAATCAAATGAAGCCTCGATTAGGTATGAAATACTCTACTACTGCTGAACTTAAATACTCTCTTAGTTGCTATGCTGTAGCAAATGGTTATGATATGTGGTATGAAAAGAATGACAAGACTAGGTTGCTTTGTAAAGGAAAGAATCCCACATACCCTTTTAGATTGTATGCTTCCTGGATGAAAGAGGAACACACTTTTCAGATTAAGTCTCTTATAACAGAGCACAAGTGTTCTAGGGCATTCAAACTTGGTTCAATTGTAACATATAAGTGGATAGGAAAACAATTTGTGAATGATGTTTTAGAGAGTCCTAAACTAAGTTTGAGGAAAATGAAAGCCCTAGTATCTAAGAGATACAACATTAATGTGAGTGTTGGGCAGTGTATGAATGCAAAAAAGTTAGCATTGTCTGAAGTTGAGGGAAGTTTGAAAGAACATTATGCCAAATTGTGGGATTATGCAGCTGAAATCAGAAGGGCTAATCCAGGTTCACATGTTGAGGTGTTCTTGGAGCCACAACCTGATAATACTGTGGTGTTTGATAGGTTTTATGTTAGCTTTAAAGGTGTTGTAGATGGGTGGTTATATGGATGCAGAAAGGTAATTGGGGTTGATGGTTGCTTTCTTAAGGGTGTTTGTAGAGGGGAGCTCCTATCAGCAGTGGGTAGAGATGCTAATAATAACATCTATCCCTTAGCTTGGGCAGTAGTCAATGTTGAGAACAAAAGGACATGGAAATGGTTTTTGGACAACCTGATGGAAGACATTGGAGGGGGGAATGGTCATGGCATTACAATCCTCTCAGATGGCCACAAGGTAATCATTCTATTTTTTTCAATTAAATTTAACTGTTTTGATCATTTAATTAACTAATCATTTTATTGTTTCAATCAGGGATTATTTGAAGCTGTGAAGGAAAGACTTCCTGATGTGGAGCATAGATTATGTGCTAGACACATTCTAGCTAATTTCCACAAAAAATTTAAAGGAGAACAATACTTTAAACCATTTTGGAGGGCTGTGAATGCAACAACTGTACCAAAGTTTGAAGCAGCAATAAATGAGATTAAGTCCTTGGAAAGTAGGGCTTATGACTATCTCATAGACAGGGATCCAAGGTGTTGGTCAAAGGCTTTTTTTTAGAGAGGGTATGGACTGTGATGCAGTAGAGAATGGAGTTTCTAAAAGTTTCAATTCTGCTGTACTTGATGCTAGAAGGAAACCATTGATAACAATGTTGGTGGACATAAGATGTTGGGCAATGCAGAGGTTATGGATGCAGAAGCAAAATGGTTTGAGTTGGGATTTGGACATATGCCCAAGTATCAGAAGGGAAATAGAGGATTTGAAAGAATTGCAAAGGTTAGTAACTATTTCATTATTTATACATTGGTTTTATAATGGTAACTGACTATCTTCTTGTATATTGACAGATTTTGGGTACCTTATGTGAGTGGCTACAAAGAATTTGAAGTGTTCTCAGGAAATGAGAGGTATGCTGTTGATCTGAATCAGAGGGCATGTGGATGCAGAAGCTGGCAACTCACAGACATTCCATGTGTACATGCCATATCAGCAATTTCATCATTGAACCTAGATGTGGAGGCTTTTGTATCAAACTCCTATACTAAAGCCTCTTTCCTTAGTAGCTATGAGTATAACATCCATCCACTCAATGACAGTTCTGAGTGGCCACATGTTGAAGCACTTCATACTATTTTGCCTCCATTAAAGAGGAGGTTACCTGGCAGGCCATGTGTCAAAAGAAAAAGAGATCAGGCAGAAAGAGAGCTAAGTGGGCACACAAGGCATACTGTGTCAAGGGCAGGCATTCCTCTAAGATGTACCATTTGCCACGAAACTGGCCACAACAAAGCCACATGCCCAAGTAAGCCAACTCCAGCTCCAAGCACAGAAGTCCAAGTCATTCCACTCTAGATTCAAGCACAGCAGGTCCAAGTCATTCAACTCCAACTCCTGTCAAGAGAACTCCTGTGAAGAAAGCTCATGTGAAGAAGGCTCCTGTGAAGAAGGGTCATGTGAAGAGAGGTCCTATGAAGAAGGTTCCTTTGAATGATGCTGGTAGGGTGAGAAAGTTTTCAGAAAGAATCACAGAAATTGGTCTTCAAAAAAATTTTAAAGTCAAGGATGGAACTGGATGCAGCCAAGACAAACCTGTGACCTTAGAGTAATTAGGTTTTGATGTAGTGGGGTAATGCATGTGATATATATTTTGATGTAGTGTGGGGTAATATTTTGAACTTAATTACTATATTACCCCTACTAGTTGTTTACTTTTGATGTACTTGTCGAATCTTTTGAACTAAATTACTGTATTACCCCTACTGGTGGGCTTATCTTTTGTAATTATTAAATGGCTTGATGCCTTTTGTCATCTACTTTTCTTTGTCTTTACATCCAATTGTCTTTATAAGAATCTTTCCTGTAATTTGTCTTGGTTTTACCTCCATTTGACTGACTTAATTACATCAACATCCATATATAATAGCAATAAACTTTACCATTACATAAACATAAAGTACATCAACATCCATTACATAAACAAGAATTACACAACAAGTCTATTACATCAAAATCCCCTAAAACCACCAGAAGCATATCTTCAACCCCAAAACATAACCTTAACAATGACCAGCAGAATCAATATCTGAATCATAACCTTCAACTGTTTCACTTCTTCTGTAACAGATGCCACATCCTCTAAAACTTGTTTAAGACAATCTGCAAAATCTGAAAGAGTATCTTCTGTAATGGGATTCATATTCTCAGGTTCTTCATCAATCCATTCCCAAAATTTACACTTTTCCCTGGTTTTTGTAGTAATAAAATCAACAACATAGAAGGTAAGAAGAAGATAATTGATGCGATTTGACAAATAAAATCAATTTAGGTATTTACCAATGAGTTAGGGCACACTCGGAATTTCTTTCCAGGGTTATCTTTGGTCTTGGAGGTACGAATTCTTGAAGGGAGTTCACAATCACAGAGGACTTCCTTATCTACTCTCTGATTGCTTGAACCTGTGGAGATTCTTGAGCCACTTGACATCTTCTTTCTTCTTCTACGAATTCCCCACTTCTCTTATCTACTATGTGTTCGACTTTGAAGGTGGTTCTTCCTGATTTTGGATGTTAACATTCGTTTATAAGGAGTGACTAAGCTAATTAATTTTTATGCAGTTGTCGTTAGTGTCACGTGTGCTTCCACATCAGCAAAACCCACAGAAGCCGGTCAAAAGGATCTATTTTGTACATATTAATAAAGTATAAGAGCTTATTTTACAAAAAAAAACAATAAGGACTAAATGTGTACATTTCAAATATTAACTTACCCTCTCAAGTCATTTTCCCTTAAATGTTCTTTTTTTTGGATTGAAATTTACAATATGTAGTTTTGTTATACATGTAGAATGTTAAGTGGTTTTTACAAAAAAGAAATAAATAAATAAATAAATATATAAGTAGACATAATACCTATATATCGGATTAAAACTGAATGCAATTTTTATTAGTATACTTACAAAAGAATAAAAAAGAAAATGATAATAAAAAGACAAGAGCAAAATAAATCAACCTTGTTACTATTATTAATTTTATTTAATTTACAATCCAATTTAAATATTTATCGTAATATGATTATATATATATATATATAGATATATATATATATATAGTATATATATAGATATATATATATATATATATATATATATATATATATATTTTAACAATAGATTATTTTTTAATTTATGGGAAGTGATACATATCGTAATATATTTATTTTTTAACAATAGATTATCATATCTTAAAAAAATAATATACATTTAAACGAACAAGTTCTAAAATAAAACATTAAAAGATAAAAGCTAAATATTATAATATGTGTGATAACCCGTTATTTTCAAATCCGTAAAAGTCAACAAAAGTCAACCAAGATCAACAAAAGTCAAACATGTCAAATAAAAGATCAAATTTATTGTTTTATTAATTTATTAAAGTTAAATTAATAATTTTGATATGTATAAATCTTTTATTATCAAACGTGCGAAACAACTCGTTTTCACCCAAGAACCTTCAGACCGAAAACTAGCATTCGGTCGCAAACGCCTAGATCGCCTTCTGACCGCAAACGTCTTCGGACCGCCATTCTCATGACCGCAAACCCTCGGATAGTAAACCCTCCTCGGTGGATTTCCCTTTTCGGCCGAAAAGACTTACCCCGGTTTGAGTTCCCAACCGAAAACTCTAAATATCTAGATATTTAGAGACTAAACCGCCTACCTTTTCTATATATATATATATATATATATATATATATATATATATATATATATATATATATATTGAAAAATATTGAAAAATATATGTTTTTTAAAATGGTTATGTTATTGGCATTAAATTTGATATAATATTTTTACACTAAGTTTATATATATGCTCTCAACTATTTTGAAAAATATTACTCAGTGACATATATCGGTTGTTTGTGCATAAATAAACTTAAATAAAATTATTGATTTAATGTTATTTCTAACAATTGTTATAATCGATTAATTTTATGTAGTCATCTTTTAATTCTGATAATGATATTTATCTAAGATATAATAACATAATATAATTTATAATTTGATGTTATTATTTTTTATGGTTATTATTAATTATTTAAAAAAAATAGTATTATTAACTTGTTGGTCTACATTTAGAATATCTAAACAAGTTTAACTATTTTAAAAAATAGTATTTGAAAAAAGGGTTTTTAGTTTATTTAATATTTCGGATTTAACATAATGTTTAAATTAACAAATAAGTGTATTATAATAATCATTTTAAAAGTCTATCAATAATAAGATAATATTTTTGCATTAATAACATATTTTAAATTAATAAATTAATTATATTAAGTTGG